GGTACATGTCCACTTCCAATGATAAGATCTTTTTGTTGTTTTCTAGGTTAGTTATCAAGCCACCAATATAGATGAGAAACATCCATGCTGATAAAACTCGGCCTTGGCCAACACCTTGTTGGACTTGGAAGAAGTAACTGGAATAGCCAGCATATCTCACACAGGCGAGTGATGTGTCAGATGCCACGCACGACCATGTATTCCGTATTCGAAGAGTTTTAGTAGAAGTCCATCGTGCCAGATGCGGTCAAACGCTTTTTCATTGTCTAGGGATACGACATACACTCTCGTTTCTCTCTCTACATAGTATGAGACCACTTCCTTCAGTATGTGGATAGCAGTTGTAGCTCCATGTTCTTTTCTAAATCCACATTGAAGTCTGTTTGGAAATGTTGGATTTTTCATAGTTATGAATACTTCTAGTCTGTTTAACAGAATCCGTTCAAAGATCTTCCCGATAGATGAAGTGAGCGTTATACCTCTATAGTTTGTTGGATCGGATCTGTCTTTGTTGTTCCCTTTGTATAGGGGTATAATCATTCCTTTTCGCATACCTTCAGGCAGATAGCATTCACATATAATCAAGTTGAACATATGTGCGAGGTGTTTATGCAATAGAGAACTAGCGTACTTAATATGCTCATTGGTGACCAGATCAGGGCCTGGCGCTTTCTTGATCTTTGCGTCTTTTACTACTTTTATTACTTCTGACACAGAGACTGAATCCGCCAATATTGGGTCTGTATGTGGAAGAGGAACGTTGCATATCTTCATCAGGCGTTCAGTCGTTTGTTTTGAAAAGGACCTGTCAAAGTCAGGTGTATCAAACGGATTAAATAGATCACGATAATATTCTGCCCAAATATTACATACATCAGGAGATGAAGATGCTGTTATTTTCTTAAAGGCAATGTTAGAGTTCACGGCGGAGTTTTTTCTCCGTTTTGCTAACAGTTTTATAGAATTCACTAATGTCAACTTCACATGCTTCTTTTATCTCAAAGTATTTTTCTCTTTTCCACTACCTCTCTGCCTTGCGTTTATGGCGTCTGAATTCCCATTTTGCCTGTTTGTAAGCTCTGTATGTGTTATCATTGCTTGTTCTCGGTTTACCTTTTGTTTTCCATTATCTCTTTGCTTCTCTCATCTGGAAATGGTAAAAATCCAGATTTGAACCTTTCCAGTATGGCTTCAAATAATGTCTAAATTGTCCTGATGGGATATGTAAGGAAGCCGCGGAATGTAGAGCAATCCATGTAGGATTCTATAGTGTCTTTTATTTCACACCTAGGGTTAGGCAAAGATTAGCCCAGTAACAAGTCTATTTCTGTTTCATACAGTTTGAGTTGGACTGCATCTGCTTTCGACCACTTGAGCAATTGTAGAAGCCACTGTTTATCTCCAGTAAGGAAAATGTCAGCAAGAAATGTTAGTATCATAGGATAGTGGTCAGAAATATCAAAAGGGACTGTAAAATTCATATTGGTTTTCAGAACTGATCCTTGTAGACTGCTGAGTATGAAGAGATAGTCTTGTGTTTGGTTTCTGTATGGATTCTCCACTTGATGAGTTGTCCTTTGGTAGTACCACACGAGTAAGAAGCAAGCATACTTCTCTCCGAAAGAAGTTTGATCAGTAGTTGCGATCTGCGTGAAAGTTTATTGTGATAGATGTCAGTATTAAAATCACCACAAAGGATAGTAACACTGTTGCTACTTAGTTCGTCTACAGTTTCGAATACGCTGTTCAAGCATTCTGCATATTCGCTGTCATTGTGATTTGTTGACGGGAGTAAAGCACAAACTATAGAGAGGTCTACACATTGTTCTCGAGATATAGTCACAGCCATCACGTCATCACATGTAGTGTCATGTACGTGTACATAGCTACTCAGAGAATGTTTCACAAGAATAGCTACTCCTACTTCACCTCTACATCCGTGCTGTCCAGATCGTAATCCAACAGCCCAGTCAAACTTGTCTCTCATTTTGTCTAGGTAGGTTGCAGTGTTCTCTGTAAGCCAGTGTTCTGTTAGAGTCAGCACATCACACTGGTCAGCGACCTTATTCAGATACTCACAGCTGTATAAGGCTCCATGAATATTCCATGTTCCAACGCTTAGCATGGTAATACGTATGAGGCAAGTATTCAATCATGTTAGATGAATTAGCGTGCGCCATTGCTGTTTCTGTGTGACTGTGGTATCCATTCCCGACATCTTACATTTGGCGGCCAGAAATTTTCATTCTCAGTAACTTCTTCTGCTGTCCTCCTGTCAATGTTTACTCTCAGTGTGTAGGTGGGATTGTAGCCTTCCCAGTGCCTCAACAAACGAACGTAACTCACATTGAGGCCATGTTGTTTAGCATATTCACACATGTCATCTTGTACTGTTTTTGGTGGTTTATCCGCCCTAACATACGCTAGCACAAACCGTTTTGTTTTAGATTTTGGTGAAACACATCTAAAAGCTCTAGACCATTCACTGTCGAATTTCACAGATCTCTGAGCATGGTCTTCGTGTTGTTTATGGCTGACGTCATCACATCCAACTTCCCTGGTATGGTCATCACTGGCACTGTCAGGTTGAGCAGGAATTGTACACATAGTGTCACAGTCTCCATCCTCGTCGTTCTCAGTGTTGTCCCCAATAGTATTCCTCTCATGGTTAATAGTAACGTCCACAACACTTGGAGTTTTAGTTTTGTTGGTATCTGCTGTTCTGATCACCGACGTGATATTGCTGGAATATTGCTAAAAGCGGCGTAAAACCATACTCACTCACTGTTCTGATCAGTGGTACATCAGCTTGTTGTTAGTGTTTACTGTGTCTATTTTCCCGTCTACAGCGTTGGTTTTTCGTGTTAGCCTACTATTAATTGTCTTTCAGATGACTTTCAAGGTGGTGTATCCGTGAATCTTTCTCACGTAGTTGAGAGACTAGTATCCGTACGTCTCAACGTAGCTTGAGCTCCACGTTTTTAAACCTTTCTATCTCTCCTGACGCTGTTATCAGGTCGCTGTTCTTCTCTTCGATGGTACGCTTCATATTCCTGAGTTCAGTGTCAAATTGTTCATGCAATTTCTTCAATTTTTCTATCCATGCTGTCATAACGTTCGTTCGCAGAATCCCTCATTTCCATTATTTTGGCATAGATTAGGGTCAAAAGATCATTACCTCTTTGTGTATCCGGCGACCTGTCTCCGGGTACGTTGGTGGGACGTGCGTTGGAGTTACCTTTGCTGAGTACTTGTTTTTCCAGTATATTTGAGGGGATTGTCTGTGTAATAAAACCATATAGGCAATATACATCAGACGCATATTTCTCAATCCCAGACTTCCTGGAATGTTCTCTTTGTACACGTTTTGGTAGATAAACAATTGGAGTATCATGTCGACTATTCTTGGCTATGTCATAAAGTGAGTGAGTGAGTGAGTATTGTTTTACGCCGCTTTTAGCAATATTCCAGCAATATCACGGCGGGGGAAACCAGAAATGGGCTTCACACATTGTACCCATGTCGGGAATCGAACCCGGGTCTTCGGCGTGACGAGCTAACGCTTTAACCACTAGGCTATCCGACCGCCCCTACGTCATAAAGACTTTGTCACGCTTCGTTCAGTTTTTCTTCATCATCCTTGTATATGTCCAAAAGTTCAGTTTCAAAAGAAATTCGATCAAGTTGTCCAAGGCGTCTGTGTATTTCATTGAACATGTCATTGTCTATATCATCCACACTTTGTGTAGCGTATCGAAGGTCATGAAATGTATATGTATTTGGACATGTGCTGGTGCGTATGCTCCCAGGAAGGACGTGAACTGTCCGCAAACCTTTGAGCGTTTGAGGGGCACGGGTGGCCCAGACGTCTAAGGCGCCGCGATTCGCTGTGCAGACTTGCGTCCCTTGGGCACGCCAGAAACCGATGATCATGCGTTCGAATCCCGGTTCGCCCCGATTATGTTTCTAGGTTTGTCAGCACCATACCCGTGGTCGTGGGTTTCATCGAAGTGGAGGGGCGGTCGGGTAGCCTAGTGGTTAAAACGTTCGCTCGTCACGCCAAAGACCCGGGTTCGAGTCCCGACATGGGTTCAATGTGTGAAGCCCATTTCTGGTGTCCCCCGCCGTGATATTGCTGGAATATTGCTAAAAGCGGCGTAAAACCAAACTCACTCACTCTCTCACTCATCGAAATGGTAAACGTCTGAGACCTCTACCACTTCGGGCTTTCCTCCCACATTAAGGTGACACGCCGCGGAATACTATATATATATATATATATATATATATATATATATATATATATATATATATATATATGTGTGTGTGTGTGTGTGTGTGTGTGTGTGTGTGTGTGTGTGTGTGTGTGTGGCTGCTTGTACTAGTCCGGACTGATGCCGATTTATAGTGCTCGCCCACTGAGATACCATGCCGCAGTTTAACATGAATAGCCCACTCAGACACAGTATACTGGCTCCGAGCCGACTAGTCCTTATTTTATCCCCTTAATGCCGAGCGCCAGACAGGGTAACAACAAGTATCATCTTTTGACTCTTTTGGTATGTCACGGCCGGGGATCGAACCCAGGACCTTCCGCTCTCCGGATTACTATTGATCTAATTACCAGCCACTCAAATAGAGGTAAAGTCATTGTTTGGAAAAAGATGTAATGAAAGTTCTCACGATTATCGCTTCTTTTTCTCATTTGTAATTCACTTAAAGCTGTGAAACAATTCTACACAAATATTCTCTATAGACGTATGAGTCTCCTTATGGTGATTTGATTGAGTCTGGCCCTCTCCTCTTACAGCGCTGGGTCAAGTTCAGACAAAGTGGTCGGTGACCCACGCCTTTGACGCACACGGCTCTGTATCATATCCCAGACGTTTTCAATAGAGGAAAGGTCTATCAATGACGTGTTCTGAAAACCTCTACTCAACACTCACGCAAACATCAATCTAATTTACAATACATGCATTCAAACGTGGATCGGGAAGATATCATGTCTAAACCTGAGCCCAACACAATACCAGGAAGAAGTTGACAGGTACAAGCCAGTCTGTTACGTATGTGTCTGTTACATATGTGTTATAGCTGCCTCGGACAGATGTCTTCAGTAGTTGGACGCCTTGGAAATACTCAACCATGACATTGTGTGTAAGTATATATACTTACCCTATTCAACAACATATTTGGTATATGATACATATATATTAAATCAAATTTATGTATATGATACACAGACAATAATCTGCGAGTGACGAGGAATGACGGATGATCGAAGGATTTTCAACATTAATATCACGAGGGACAGATCATCCGTCATTCCTAGTCACGAGTAGTTTATTGCTTTTATTACCCATCGTCAAGTTTTAAAATAAGAAGCTGAAAAGACAGAAACAGTTAGATCTTGTTGCAGAGGCGACTTCGTCGATACCGGATCACCTGATCACGCAAATTCTACACTGAACACTAAGATTCCGCGAATGCAAAATAGTTCGTTTGAGGGGTATTAATTCTTCGATATTTAAGGAATATAATGAATTTTGGCGATAACTATACAATTTGATTCATGTATAATAAATGAATTTAAAAAGACTTGGCATTATTGTTAATACAAAATACAAAGTCTCAGAGTAACTAACTGTCATGACCATGAAAGAACACAAGAACTGATTCTACAACAGGAAATGTTTATTTGACAGACTCTTTCAAGTGAGCATACATGTATGTCTTACTTTTTGAAAGAACAGTCAATGTCGTTGCTTTTGATCTCTCCCCCGCTGTCATAGAATTTTTTATATATTTTCTATACCGTTTTATAATCTCAACAAGATCGTTCACTATTGGACTGGAGTCTTTACATTGTTGTTTACATTCATATATAGCAGACGATTTAGTCTATACATAGTACTGTATTTACAAACCGTATTTTATGGGATGTTTTTATTTGAATTAACCCCAAAAAAATTAAATGACAAATTTCATATGGCAGAAACTTGTTAGAAAAGGAAAAAGTAGTTCCGACAATGCGTCATTAACCAATGAAGTTACATGATTTCAAAAACAGCCGATCAGCCTTAAGCGACTGCTGGAAACTCCCAAGGAAGTTAATTTGTCCAAAACAATTGCAAATGTAATTGAGGTATAAAATGAAAATGGACAAATAGTAAAATTGTTACTTATTCTAAATAATTAGCCTTGAAGTACCATCCAAACTTTCATGGTCAGTTGGCGTGCAAACAATTAGCTTCCCAAGCATAAAACATAATTAAACATAACTCTTTTTTTTCAGCATAAATAAAATGACGGGAATGAAAATGTACATTCTTCTTACTTTAAACGATTTTTATGTTTGGAAATTCTCCTTTCAATAAAGTTATTTTAGGTGAAACAGGACGCTATCCCTTTCATATATTAAGTCAACTTCGAATGAAAAAAATATTTGTTAAATTTACTGAGGTTGTTTTGTTTGTTTGTTGTTTACCCGCAATCAGCAATATTCCAGCAAAATGATGGATATATGATATATATATGATGTCAGATATTAAGTATGTTCATTTGGTTATTCCTTTGTGTGGATTTCCAAAGATATAGGGGATACAATTTATTCTTATAATCGGTTAAACAAAGGTGACAGGACTTGTATAGTCAAAGCTGACATGCCAATATATCGTCTTCACGTTTCCTCAGCCATTACAATGAAATCGTAGAAACAAGAAGGGTATAAGTATTTCAACTCTCAACTTCTCTCAATGTTTTCCTTTCCTTTTCGCAACACTGGTTAACTGCGACTCCCTTCTATGTGCCATTAGGTCCGTGCGTGACACGTGCGTTTCTATAAGGGCATATACAATCTCACGTTCACTGCAACCCTTAATTTACAACCTCGCTTATTTATGTCTTTATTTACAACCTCGCTTATTTATGTCTTTACAACCTCACAAACCCGTACGTTCAATCCAGACATCTTGATCTTGATTGTTTGAGAACATCTATTCAGTCGACGCTTCAAGTTACCCATCGTTTCCCCCAGGAGGTCGGTCTCTGATAGAATTTTGTCATTGATAACTGCTATTTGAAATTCATCTCAAGCCGCCCCAGCAGAAATTAAACCAAGGGAATAAAGGGGAATTCCCAACTATCTTGTTCTTATGTTCAAGGTAATGAATTTCAGATTTTCCTGACATGCGTCCTATTGTTTAATAGAAGAAAATGAAGGAGGAAGACTTGACATGGAATACGAACACACCAATTCATTGTCTGACAAGCCGAGCATACTCTGTTGTTATACCCGATAAAAAGTGTCGTGCTTTCGTGCGAATGAATCATTGCAATACCTGGTTTTACCCACCGTCATCACGAGGTGTGTGTGTGTGTGTGTGTGTGTGGTGTGTGTGGTGTGTGGTGTGTGTGTGTGTGTGTGTGTGTGTGTGCTTTTACTAGTCCGGACCGATGCCGATTTTAAGGTGCAGTTTAACATGAATACCCCACTCAGACATACCCCACTCCGAGCCAGCCGGGCGGACGCCCTACCACTGGCCCACGGAGGCGGTCGAATGCCCAAAAAGGTTGATGATATCGTGTATACGTTATTCTGGTCTATGAGTGGAACACATCATTCCCTAATATTATAGCTCCGATAACGTTTAGGTGTTGACTCATCTTGTATCGGGACACCTGATATTACCATACAGAAATGTAATTCTCAGCAAACGAAAACCTACACAGACCACATATACAGCCTCGACAGTCCACATTGTTAGGTGTTGATGCGTTCAGAAACGACAATACACACACGAATATAACTTCGTGGCTCGATTATTCGTTTTCGTCTGCTGGTATAGATGAGATCCGAGAAGGGACATTATCGCGTTGTCGCATTGTCGCGGTTCGGTTAATTTAGACACTTTTTGCTTGTTTTTGTAAGGGAGAATAGGGCAATGCGACATTGTCCCTACTAGGATAACATAGGTATGAGCTCGAGCCTTCGAGCATTTCCACCAGTTGGGTGTTAAAGGCAAAATATCAGTCGACAAAATACGGTTGATTGAAACTTGACAAGAAGAAAATAAAGCCGATCAACCAACTTGAAAATAGATATTTGTTCAAGAAGAAACTTATTTTGGCAATATTTATGACATTATGGTAGGGGTTATCTTGGAGGTAGGTACAACTATACGTACAGTGGTATAGTAACTATCAGATATTAAAGTGCATTTTACAACAGTTGAAAAATAGAGTGCAATCTATGTTCACACCTAAATACGGCATCTGTGAATAACGTCAGGCACTATAACCTTGATAATTGGTTGAGAAAAAGGACAAAACCACTTTCAGAAAAACCTATTACAGTAAAGTACGGTTATAACTAACGAAGGGACTACTAATTTTAGTTCGTTATAACCGTAGTTCGTTATAAGCATATATACAGCATAACTACAGCAAATAGTCGGGACCAAAAAGTGAGTTCGTTATATCCGTCAGTTCGTTATAAGCGTGTTCGTTATAACCGTAGTTTACTGTAATGAGTGACTGGATATGGTTTTACGCGGAATTGACAGTAGTTCAGTAATGCCACAGCGGGGGACACCAGAAGTGCGCCTCACACACTATACCCATATTGGGGATCGAACCCGGACCTTCGGCGAGAAGAGCGGACGCTGTATCCACTCGGCTACTATATCACCCAATTCCGGCTGATATTGGATACAGCTTATGAAAACGAATTGAAGAAAGTCCTGTTTTTAAGTAATAAATTTGAGGATATATTTGGTACAAAATCATTGGGAAGATGGTTGAAATGAAACTAAATGTTTAGTGAGCGCAGAAACAAGTATTTCGGTGGAGCTAAATAAATAAAGAAAAAGGGGAAATGTTTTAGGTTATGACCAAGGGTTACCTCCCTTTTTAGTTTACCAGTACTGAAATAAAGATTATATGTAATTTTATTTCGCATTTACGGTCAGTTTATTCGTTATATTTATCAGGACATTAAAAAACCGGATTACACCGTTTCAAAGAACGCCTTCCTTGCGGTTTCGTTTATGTGAGATTTACGTCGAGGTAATAGACGCAATGCAGTGACGTTGACGTTGGCGGCTTCACATACAACATGCTTACTGGGACAAATGTGACACTAGCAAGATGTAAATGCAGGGAAAGAAATTATTTCATGTGTTTGTTTGTTTGTTGTTTAACGTCGCACTCAGCAATATTCCATATTATGACGGCGGTCTGTAAATAATCGAGTCTGGACCCGACAATTTAGTGATTGATATCATGAGCATCGATCCACGCATACGATGACACGCATTAACCAAGTCAGCCAGCCTGACCGCCCGACCCCGTTAGTCGCCCCTTACGACAAGCATAGTCGCCAGAGTCGCATGGGTTGCGGAAGACCTATTCTACCCTGGATCTCCACGGGTTTTTTTTATATGAACCGCAGACCACTCTCAAATCTGTTTGCGTGTGCCCTCCTGGAGTTTAAGTTTGCCATCGAAAGGAATACTTTTGATCTATCTTCAAACTCGAAGAAACATGATCTACAAAATAAGCGGTTGTAATTTAGAAAGTGTGTCTGCTTCGTTTTCATTGAGATTGGTGACATCCTATCCTATAATTTCATAATCCCCGAAAATTTGATGAATCATACCATTCATGTTCACTTCACTTGTTTGTCCATAATATTTTTCCAAAAGAACTCTTATCACTGGCTTCGTATAATATATACATCTTAATCATAACAAAAGGCATTTTGAAAAAAACAAACATTTTAAATTCATATTTTGATTATTTTTTATATTTGATTTTTACTGTGGCATTGGCAACAGGGTATTTCCAACCCTGAATGTTTGGCAATTACAGCACGTTCAAGGGACATAGTTCAGTTAGGGTTAACATCAACCAACGGTAAGTGAGGTAGAATTCGTTTTTCGCTCATGCCACAGATACACACCAGATTGAATTTCATAACGATATATGCAAAATGGCCAGCAGATACTTTTTGGTAGTTGTTCCCGCAAATAACATAACCTACATATGTAAGCACCGCTACTTTATTTTCCGACCCGTAAAGATTCCGGGGTAGAATAGGTCTTCAGCAACCCATACTTGCCGTAAAAGGCGACTATGCTTGTCGTAAAAGACGAATA